ATAAACGAGTTAATTGTATTTACAAGCTTTCCCCACAAATTACAAGTAATTGCAAAAAAAAACGCAAAACATTTGCTGACTACAGGACTTGAACGTGCATGGCGAGTAATGAATTCAAGACATTGCACCACTCTCTCGCATCAAATACACAAGTTCTTCGTTTTGTAGGGCTTCATGGAAACAAGTACCCATATCTTCAGAAGACGGTTTTGAAGTACGGAAGACTAGTTGGATTACTAGTTGTTATTCTGGTGTACATCTTATTTTGAAGGGTCACCTCGAGTAAAAAGCATTCCCTTGTGAGTAAAGTAGAACAAAAGGCATACCTCGCTGCTTCGGAGGTTTCTACCTTAACTGATTTTGCAAAACGATCTTCTGGAAGAAGGTATGGGTACTTTATGCAACTAGTAGCTTGCATATCCGGTTGTGCTCGGGTGTTTACAGTTATCAGTAGTTCTCTGTTTTGAATTATTTTTTTTTCCTGAAAGGAGCACATTTTAGTTTCTAAGTTTTCCGGCATAATTCTCTTTTAGCAAACAGGGTGAAAAAGAATAGCATCGTACTGTTTAACATGTTAGCACCTCTTTGCATTAATTGGTAGCATCACGACCAAGAAGCCACAAAAGTAGTGGACGTCTGTCTCGTCTGAAATTGTCTTGAACGAGAATCATAATCAGCCTCTTGACAAACCTTGCTCACCAATTTCCAGTAATTCAGAGCGAAAAAACCGCTATATTGATGGAATCAATCGATAAACCTTCGAGTGGTTATCAAATTTGTAATCAGCACACCAAGTTACCACACTACATCAACTTTCAGCTCTTCAAAAAGAAAAGTGCGAAAAAACAATAAATCAATAGAATCGACCGATAAGTTTTCATGAGATTATCAAGTTCGTAATTGGCATATCAAGTTACCCCAGTTCACCAATGCCTAGCGCTTTCGACCAAGGACTGCGGAAAATCAATAAATCAATAGACCCAGTCGATAAGTCTATAAGTGTTATCACATTTCTAATCAGCATATCAACTTACCCCAATGTACCACCTCTCAGCTATCTAGAGCGAAAAC